TATTATTATTATTATTATTATATTATTATATAAATATAATTTATATTTAGTGTACACAATATACTGTACTGTAATATACTGTTATTATTATTATTATATAAATGAAAATAATTAATAATTTAGCATAAAGTCAAGCGCTTTCACTTATAATATAATAAAATATAATAATAATAATAATATATTTTTTGTAAGTGAAAACACATTAATTAATGATAGCATAGTATTATATAATATTTATACATATATATATATAACAACAACAACAACAAAAATATTGTGTTATTTGGTGTGTATATTATATTTATTATATTATACAGTATTATATATATGATATTATATATATATGATATTATATATATATGATACTGTACTAAATAATAAATAATCATATATTTACACTATATATTGTTATTATCTATATATCTCTCACACACACAGTAAATACAAAATCTAAATATTATATATTTTTATGATAATATGATAATTAAAATATATTGTAAAAATAAAAATAAAACAACAAGAAAACTAGATTTTTGAATTAAAAATAAATAATATTATAATTATAATTAATATTATTACAAAACAACTAATAATAATAAAGTTTTTTGGATAAATTATTTTTATTAAATTTATTTTATTATAAATTAAATAAATCTTTTACAACTCTCTGTAGACATTTAGATAAATGTGAAATATTTTATATGTATTTTTCAAGAGTCAGTAATAAATTGTGATTTAATTTTTAAGTTGAAAAATAACAAATAATTTTATCAAATTTCAATAACTAACTGAATTTTTATCCAAATTTTTATTTTACTTAAATTTTATTAATTTTTCTAAAATTTAATTATAATATTTATAAAGATTATTAAAATTAAATTAATATTATGTTGTAGTTTTATGAGTATTTTGACATTAATTTATAACAAGTAATTGACATTTTAGGCAAAACTAATAAATATTTATAAAAATATATTTGAATATATTTTATATATTAAATTAAAATTATAACTATTTTTCAAATTATTTTTTGATTTTCTAACAAACAAACAGACAAACAAAAATATATATAACCAAATATATCAAAAAATAATAATAATTAAAATATATTCAAATGTATAATACAATTATATATAGTATAGTATTAAAACTTTCTATGCATATTTGATTTTTAAGTGGTAATTAATGAGGAAAAATTTGAATTTAAATTATTAAAGTATTAATAATTATAATAAAAAAAAATTTCCAAATAATAATAATAATAATATAATAATAAATTATATACATTTTAGATACCACTTAATCCTGTTTTATAAATTAATTAATGTTTTTAATTAATAAAATGCATAATCATTTTTGCGTAAAATAGCTTATTGTTTTTTTTATTATTATTTTAACGAGTATTTAAATATTTTCAAAAAATAAAAATAAAAGATTAATTTTATTACGCTAATACTATTGCAAAATTTTTCATATTTATTTTAATATATATATATATATATATGCAACTAATTTATGTATTTAATATATTATATAATTACAATATACCTGTATAATATAGTTGTATAAATTGTTTAATAGTATACTGTATAAATATATATATATATATATATATATATATATTTGAATTTATATATACATGTTTATATATATGATATTCATTTTTTAATGATTTATTTTGTTTGTTTGTGTAATGTGTTTCAAAATATAGCTAAAATACATTTATTTTTTTTAAAAAAATAATAATTGTTGTTTATTTTTCTCTCATATGACATAAATATGAAAACGAAAGTTATGTCATATATATATAAAAATAAATTATTATTATTATTATAATTATTATTAAATATATCTTTTTTTTTAAAAAAAAGCTAGAGATGGCTAATGATATTAAATTTGTTGTACATATTATGTAAGCTTTTTTACTGTACAGTATATATATATAGATAAAAATAAAAGTAATTAAACAAAATAAATTGAGTGCACAATAATAATAATAATAATCATAATAATAATCATAATTTTTATGTTACATACAAGTGCTGCCTAATAGCCAATGCTATCCCCAAAATGTATGTGCAATCGCATTGGAAAATCTTTTATGTTATTTCAAAAAATATATTATATAATAATAATAATAATTATTATTATAGAAAAAAATTATTAAATGACATTTTGTTTTCAAAAAAATAAAAGTTATAATAGTTAGCTGTTTAAACCTGTTTAACAAATTATTAGCACACAAAAAATGACAATGATAAATTTTATGTGTTGTATTTTGTTTTGTTTTATCAACAACAACAATGTTATTATTAAATTATATAACATTGAAAATATCATTACAGAGAGAGAGAGAGAGAGAGAGAGAGAAAGAGATTAAATATTTACATATATAGCCAATTAAGTCAATTTATTTTTATTTATGTAATAATTAATGTTAATTAACATTATAGTTGTCGTAGTAGTAGTTGTTTTTTGTTTGTTTGTTGACCAAACCTATTGACTAATGAAACAAAAATTTTTTGTATGATTAAATTAAGCAACAATTTTTTATCATTAAATATTATTATCATTATTATTTTTATTTATTTTTTGTTGTATACTGTATTCAACAAATTAGTTTTAAAAATAATAATTATTATTGTTATTATTATTTTGATAATTTTTTTAAATTTTATTTTGTATTTCTCAGTGTCATATAATATATATGATTATTATTATTATTATTATTATTATTATTATTATTATTATTATTATTATTATTATTATTATTATTATTATTATTATTATTACGATAATACTGTATTAAATAATTGTGTATTGAAGTATAAAATTAGCGTTAAAACGATATTATTATTATTTAACAAATTGAAAATACCAATTGGCTTAAATAGCTTTTTAAAATTGCTAAAATAGCGATTAGTATTAAATAATTTTTGTTTTGTAATTAGAAATACCAAACAAACAAACAAAATTGTTTACTTTCAAAATGATTATATAATATTGTATTATATGTTAGCAAAATAAAAAAATACAGTATTATTGATTTGTATTAGTTTTTAGTTAACCAATATATTTATATATATATATATATAATAATTATATTTATTAGTAGTATTACATATTACACACTGTGATAAAAATAATTTAAGCTATTGCCAAATAGTAGTTAATCAATAAACTAAAATATAAAACTTTAATATAATACATACTGAATAAATAAAAATATATATATATATATAATTATCATATTATGCTATAATTATATACTGTATAACTATATAAAACAACTTAGTCGTTAACACATACACACACACACACACACACATACACACATCATCTCATAGAAAATCATCATAATTTCAATGTCTCGTCAATTTAGTTATCGATTTTTTGTTTTTAAAAATATTATTACTTTATTTTAAAAAATAAAACCTTATTTGAATTGACGTACTACTAAATAATGTAATTTTTAATTTTGATAATTGTTAGCTATTTTATCGATGAAAATATTAAAATAACACAAATTAAAACCATAATAGATATATCATAAATATTATATATAGATAGAGATAGACTAAATTAATATTATAATATACAAACAGGATGTTAATAATAATAATAATATATTATTATTATTATTAAATAAAATAGACACTATTTTTGTGCTAAAAATTTGTTGTTTGCATGGAAAATATATTGTATTAAATATTTAATATGATACTATGAAATAAAATATATATAATAACATTAATAATAATATTGTTATTATTATTAGTATTATTATTATATTTTAATGTTAGTTCAGCAGAAATTGAATACATATACTGAATATACTATAATATATATATATATTATACTAACAAAAATACATTTTTGAAAGTGATTTTTAATTTAATTTAATTTTATTATTATTATACATTTATATATTAAAAAAAAATTACTGAATTAATAATATATTAAACAAAATACAAGGCCAACAACAACAACAACACATTTATTAAGCACTGGTAGTTAGTTATATATATATATATATATATATATGAATACCAGTTTTTGGAAGGGAAATGTTGCGTATATGTTATATACACAGCACCGGGAGTATAGAAAAAGTGAGAGTATGTTTGTGTAGTAGTGTCGGTGCGGTTCACTATAATCTCTATAAACTAAAACCTCAATATTTAATACATACAAAATACAGTTTGCTTTCACTTTTCAATGGTGTTTGACGTATTGACTATTACTATATATATATATATATATAAAATACAAGACTATAACCATCACTATATAAAAGTTAGAGATATCCCATACACTGGGGATCTCTATCTATCTAACTGTGCTCTTAATGTAACCAACAATAATAATATTATTTTATAACAAAAATAATATATTTTCCGTATTTTATTTGAAATTAAACTATTTTTTCTATCTCTTAAATGTGCTAATTTTGTTATCATTATAAAGTAAAAGTTTAAAGTTTTATTTTGTTTGTTTTAAAATATATATATATATACTGTTTGTATGTATATATATTTAGTTTGTTTGGTTGGTTGATATACTAAATTAATTAATTAATTAAATTATAAAATTAAATGAAAATTATTTTATGTTTTTTTTGTCAACTATAACCAACACACATCAACAAACAAACAAACAATTTTTTTTTATAAATAATTTAAAAAATTTAACAAAACGTAAATTAGTTGAGTTAAATTAAAAACTAATTAAATATCTAAATTTATTTTTTTTTTGATTTTTTTTAAACAAACGGTATTTATTTATATATATATATATATACTGTATATCTATATGGCGTGGGTTTGAATTTTGAAAACTTTTTTTTTTATTACTATCTATGGAAATGTTTGCCTAAATTTATGATAATTTTATTTTATTTTTAAATTTATTTAATGTATTTATTATATATTTTATTTATAATAAATTATTTGTTTATTTAAATATATAAATAAATATATATATATATTAATTAATAAGTGATGTTTAATAAGTTGTCAACTATTTTACTATTATTTATAATAATAATAACCGCAAACCGCTGGCCATTACCGGGTATATCGGTAGCGGCGGCGGCGACGACGACTGAGGTCACTATATGTGACTTTAATCGCTATAGCGATGGCTGTGAGGATACATACGGCTCAGAGTGTAACCGATCGACCAATCAGTGTCAATGTCGGCCAGGATTTACCATCAAAATTGACCAAACATTTTGTTTGCCGCCGAAAAACCTGTCCGAATCGTGTTTCGTATCGGAACAGTGTATCAAAGCCGCCGACCGTAACCACAACGACAACAACCCGGTGGCCAATATCGGCTGCTATGTAGACGATCGGGAAATAGATGTCAAAACATTGAGACTATGGATCACACAACTCGATAGTGTCTACAAAATTGTCGGCACCTGTCAGTGTCCGGCCACACACTATTTGTTGGACACCACTAGTAGTATGATTGTCGGCCATCAAACAACAACCGGTCAACAGTGTCTACCGAAACGTGATATCAACGAAAACTGTACCGAATCTCAAGAATGTCTATCTGTACACTCGTACTGTGACCAGAGTCTACGCCAGTGCCGATGCAAACCGACCTATCGGTTCTCGCAACGCAAACGTCGATGCGTTGCCCAACTGATCGGCGAAAACTGTTCGGACAACGATCACTGTTCAGTACACGACCCGAATGCCGAGTGTCGTATCGGGTCGTGTCAGTGCCGACCCGGCTATATACTGTCCCATACGGGCAAATGTGTGGTCATACGTTTGCGGGGTACTTCAAATCACTTGCTAATGATGTTGGTAGTGGTGGCTACTGCCGTTGTTTTTGCCCTGTTGAGTACGGCTCACCGTAAATGGTCGTCGACTGATGATCTGTTCCGCAATGGCGGTGCTGTCCATTTGCGCAATCAGCTGCCCATGAATACCAATTGGATTACTAGGCGTACGTTTCCCACGGCTCACAATATGGTATTTCCCAATCAACAAATAGCCAACAGTCCAACAGCCGTCGGGTCCATCGCAGGACAACAGCAGCAACGCTATCCGACAACAGCCGTACAGTTGACTACACCGTCGCTGGCATTGATTTGGCCACTAAGACATCATCAGCAGCATCATAGTCATAGTACTGCYGCTGCTGTTGATGGCAATCATGTCTATCCATATCATTATCATCACAATCATCATCAGCAACACGAAGACGGACCGCCCAGTTATGATGAGGCCATCGGCAATCAGTCATCCCTGAGCTTTCCGAGTGATCTAAACAATAGTATAACTGTTATAACAACTACAACAACAGCCCTAAACAATTCGCAACTATCTTCAGCCAACACTACCGGTGCTGTCAACTGTAATAGTAATAATAATAATAATCTTAACAATATCGCCGCCACCGTTGCCAACAATGACAATAGTTTTGTTAACAATTGTAATAATAATTGTCGACAAAATAATTTAGACAATAGTGAAAGTGCTGTTAGTATTGCTGACAATAATAATAATAATAGTAATAATAGAGACAATTGTGATAATATTGCGATTATTATCAATAGTGATAACAATTGTCGAGATAGTAGTAATAATAATAATATAAATCAAAGTAGTAGTAGTAGTAGTAGTAATAATATTAATAATAGTCAATGTATTAATAATAATAATAATGTATAATATTAATATAATACAGTATATATATATATATATATTTAAATAGTATTTTATTTTTTCAAATAAAATAATTATGAATTATTGGAATAATAATTATTTTTAATAAAAAAATTGTTTTGAAATTTCACTTATTTATCAATAAATATTATTGAATAGTTATGAAAAATAAAATATATTTTTAAATTGAAATCAATGTTAAAATAAATTATATAATATTTATATATATTTTTATTTATTTTTTTATATATACAAATGCAATAATAATAATAATACTAATAATAATAACATTTATCAATCAATTCATGTGTTAAGTCATATTACTGTAGTTTTTTTTATTTAATAATAATATTTAGTATTATTTATTTTTTATAAGTTGTCTATAAATTGACATCAAACTATTATTATAAGATTATGATTATTATTATTGCATATTATTATAAAGTGTTTCAAAAAATATTTACAAAAAAAACATGCAATCAATTGATAGCCAATTGTGGAGAAATCATTTGGCAATAATACAGCTATAATTGCGATTGCATTATAATTATAGATAATTTCAATGAAAAATTAAATAAAATACTTTCAATTTTCTCTCTCTCTCTCTCTCTCTCTCTCTCTAATAATTATATTTATTTATTTATTACTCACTTAAAAAAAAAAACATTTTTTTTCACTGTCTCTTTGTTTGATAGTTTATAATTTTGTATTATAAATATTTTTTTTAAAAAAAAAAACTTTATCTATCTATCTGTCTGTAATATATATACTGTATATATATATGACTGGCTCTATGTCTCTACAGTTTATTATTATTATTATGGATAAGCTAGCGCTTAGTTAGCTAAGTTTTTTAGTCAATAGGTTAATGAATGCAATTTATTTTTATTTTTTAATTTTGTTTTCAAATTGAATGTAATACAAGGGCACACATATATATACATACACACACATAATAACAACAAAAACAGTTGACTACCTGTGCTTCCCTTGACTTAACTTCAGGGCACACCAGTATGTAAGTTATAATTGCAGTTATAATCTGAGTGAAAGAGAGAGAGAGAGAGAGAGAGAGAGAGAGAGAGAGAGAGAGTCGAAAGATTATATAGATTTTTGGTTAGTTTTAATAGATTTAAAAGTTTTATAATAAAATTTATACCAATAATAATAATAATATTTTTTTAAATGTGTTTTATAATAGTTACGATAAAACACACACACAATTGAAAATTATTTATTTTTTTGTTATAATAAATCACGACTAAATCGCACATTTAGTGATAAACAAAACAAATTAAATGATTAAATAAATGTTTTACTAATTTTTATGTATTATTAACTTAAATATATATATTTATATAAATAAAGGTATTTAATGTTCAATTATAAAAAAAATTGTTTATCTTTAATTTTTTTTGTTGAAAAATTATTTTTTTGTTTGTTATCGTTTTTTTTTAAAATTGTGTTATCAAAAAAATCATTATATCTTTTGTTAAATTATTACTTTTGTTATACAGGTATTATTTTTTATATATAATTTTTATTAGTTATGAATAGAAACTGTATTTGATTTGAACAACAAAAAAACAATTTGTATTTATAATTGTATTATTGTTATTATTTTTATTAATAATAATTATTATTTAGTGATTAGGATATACCTGATATATATCTTACATGTAGTTTATGTCACACTTTTATTTTATTTATTTATTTTTAAATCTCATTAATATATCCGACAACTAAATGTCCATTTAGTTGGCAAACCATTTTCACATATTATTATTATTACAGTACTGTATATATATACAGTACTAACTAATATGATAAACCAATTTATAGTTTCGTTGAAACATTTTTATTTATTTTATTTTTTTTTGTTAGTGATTAAGTCATCGTTAAGTAACTTACTAACAAAAAATATAAACTAAACTAAATAAACATAAAATAAGATTTGGCGCTTCAAATACATTATGTATATAATATATATATATACAGTATATAATACAAGTCATATGAAAAAATATTAGTAATTTAATTATTCATATAATATAATAACGTGAAAAATAGTTTATAAGATTAGCGCCAAAAAAATAAGTCTCTCCTTTAATATTAACTTTAATATAGTTTTTTTGAGATTTTTTTTTGCTTAATTTACTTATTGTTTATAAAAGTAAAAGTCTCTCTCTCTCTCTCTCTCTCTCTCTCTCTCTCTCTCTCTCTTTCTCTCTCAAAATAACTTTTACATTTAGTTTTATACAACAACAAAAAATTATTACATTAGAGATTAATCAAAGCGTAAAATAAAACACTCATTTAATAATAAGTAATTTTTTTTGTTAAAATCATTAAAATCTAATTTTTTTATTGTTAAAAATGTTTTCTGTATTAAAATAATACAATGAAACATAACAAAAATTAAATTACATTATAAATTGTGTGTGTGTGTGTGTGTGTGTGTGTGTGTGTGTGTGTGTGTGTGTGTGTGTGTGTGTGTGTGTGATATTTGTTATGCTTAACTTAATTTTTAAATAATTTACTATAATATGTATTTAAATTTTTTTTGTTGACTACTATTAAAAAAAATAAATATCCATTTAATTTGCAATTTACTAATTTGCTATGTGTGGTAAATATATACATATATAATATATAATTTAAATATATATATATATATACAGTATATTAAAATATAATTTTATCATTTAATTGAAAAATTTGTTGTGAACGACAAAATTTTTGTTTTATTTTTTTTTGTTATTGAGTTTTAGTTTTCTAAAAATTTTTATGCAAAATAAGTTTACAAATAAAGTTTATTTTATTAAATAATTATCAAATAATTAGTCTAAAATATTTAAATTAACAAAAAATATATATTATAATAATTAATAAAAATTTTTTTACAAATTATTATATAATATCCCATTTTCCCCATTAATTTAGACCTAATATATTAAATATATTGAAACACTTCTCCATTATTATTATTATCACACGTTTTATCAAAAAAAATTATAATTAATTTTATTATAATTATTATTAAATAACAACAAAAATCTACTAATAATTTGTCGCTAAAAAGTTGAAAATTACTAATTAATTATTATTATATAATCAAATAAAAAATAATAATAATACACATAGAAATACAAGTAATTGTAATAATAATAATATTATTTTATAACAACAAAAAATTAAGTGTAATTTTTATTTTATTTTGTTGTTGAAAATCTATTGTCCGGTAATTAAGTTTATAAACAATAAAAAAAATTATTATTACATAATATTTCAATGGCTACTATTATGAGTATTATTATTTTTATAAAAAAACATAAGTATTTACATAATAATTATTTAAAGTCACGCAAAATATGAATATTTTATTTATTTATTTTTTATTATTATTTTAATAAAATTTTTATTATATATTTGTCTAAATGTTAATTTGAGGTTTTTTTGAGATATCATTATTATTATTATTACTTTAATATTAAAATAATTCAGCAAATATTTAGTTCATTGCTAACACTTTTGCTTATTATTTTTATTATCATATTTTATTATTATTTCAATAGAAAAACATTACTTTACAAAAAATTTTTGAATTATTTATAATAAATTAATTAGAAAAATATTTTTCTATATTTTAAAGAAAGAGAGAAAAAAAATTATTTTATTTATTTTTATTAAGGGATAATGAAAAAATAATTTTTTTTAAAAACATAAAAATACATATATTTTGTTTACTATTAAACTAAACAAAACTACATATATATATAAATTTATATTAAATAATATTTCAAAAAAAAAAATAATATTCAAATAACAACAAAATAAAACTATAAAAAATAAAAACAATTAAAAATTCTAATTAATTTTAAAAAACTTATTGCTTATTAATTATCAATTTTAAAAAATATATTTATAAAAAAATTTTAATTTAATTACAGTATAGACACTGTATATTAATACTACTACTACTACTACTACTACTACTACTACCTTAAAAAAGTCATCATATTATATATATCTATATATATATACTGTAGGTATAGATACCGTATTACCCCATCATTAGTAGGTCCCATCATTTACCCACTAGTAATCGTGATGACCATGATGATGATGATGGTGATGGGAATCATGGTGATGATGATGACTTTCCACATACTGGCCGGGTATGTATGACTCATCACCACCACCGACAACATACGGCATTCCTTCACCACCGTATCCGCCGCCGCCATGTTTGATTTCGACATTATGTATATCGACATCACCATCAATGAACAGTGCACCGACACACTGATAGGGCATCCGATGATGAAAGTAAGCCAACGGTACGCCATTCACTTCCACCCGATAGTACTCGTGTTCGACATGTATGGCAATACTGAAATTGTTGCCCCGGTGTAGCTGATGGGTGTGTGTATGGCGTTCCTCACTGCCCCACGATTTATGGTGACGGCTGTTCAGTACTACATAATCTTCGTGAACCCTCGGGTTGACGTGCAAAGCGATACTGCTGTGATGGGCCGCATGATGACCAGTATCGCTACCCTCGACCAGATTGATTTCGAACCGATCCGAATGGTGCGGTATGTGGCCAGTTACGTAAATGGTCAGACCGGGTCGGACATCGCCTTCCAGATGTGTCCAAAACGGTGTTACCGGGTTTGATATGATACGCATAATAGTTGTTTCGTTTGGTGTTTCCTCACTAAATGTTTAAGTGATTCAAAAAAGATTTTAATTAAATATTAAAAAAATACTAATATAGTCGATGTCTATATAATAATTGTTTTAATTGCTGCAAAAAACAAAAAAAAAATAAAGTACTAATACTACTAATTATTATTTTATTATTAAATGATATTGATGAATTTTTATATATATATATATATTATGTTATAAGTAGTTATTTATGGTATGTATATGTGTGTGTGTTTACAATTACCAACTGATTTCCGATTTGTGCCGGATTTTATTGTTGTTGAAATATCTATTATAATTATAAATAGTTTATAATTTAATATATAAATTGTTTGTTTATCAAACATTTTTTTTAATAAAAAAAATAATAATTCAAGATAATCTCGATGATGTCAATAATATGAGAGCTGGCAATCCTATTCCATTAATAATATTATCAGTATAGTAGTAAACATTTTTTTTAAATAATAATAATAAAAATTGCAATGACATATCAGATTTTTTTTTGTTTTTTGTTTAATAGTTGTTTTTTTTTCTATGGAAATATTTTATATATATATGATATAACATTGATATATAAATGATATATTACTTGTATTATAGTATTTTTTTTCTCTATATATCAAATATTTTTTAGATGCTTAGTAACACTAACTAAATATTTATTTTTGCTATAGTTATAACTTATAATAGCATTATATTATTATTATTATTATTATTATTATATTATGTGTCTCTCAGATATATTACACAATATGATTGACATTATTTTGATATGTCATTATACACACACACACACACACACACACACACACACACACACACACACACACACACACACACACACACACACACACACACACATAGTATTGTTTTTTAACACTGCAGATAACCAACAAAAAAATGAGTCGACATTTAATACTACCCAAGCTATTGATATAAAGTATACTGTATATATATATATATATATATGTGTGTGTACAAAAAAGATAGGCTATTGTTTTTATATCATATTATATATAAATATTTTTACAGACAAATCAAACTATAAGCCATAATAACCTATCATAAAATATTGATAAATAAATATATCACACACACACACACACACAATATACAATATAATATATATATATATATAAATTATAGGACTAATAACTATACAAAAAAAAATATTTTACTAAAACTTATATTATTTGTTTTAATTTTTTTTTGTTGATAATTAAGTTTGTGTTTGCTAAACGCCCACATATTGTCATGTAATATATAAAAATTTATTTATATATATATATATAAATTATATATATATTGTATTTATATTTTAGGCCTAAATTTATATACATGTTTTTTTTGGTAGTTCAACAATTCAAACAAATCGCTGCTTACATACTGGTTGTATGATCACAACAACAAAAAATAAAATAAAACATAACTATACACAAAAAAAATTATTGGTATTATCAATATTATTATTATTATTATTATTATACAGTATATTAAACAAAAATAAAATATGATTTTTGTTGTTGTTGTAGTAGTCAGAGCTTAACATAAAAAATAAAACAAAATGTATTTTTGGGATTTATGTATTCAAAACTAATTTTATATATATATGTTTTTATCGTCCAATTTATTAGCTATACTGTACTATCAAATTAATTATTTATTTTCTATTTACAGGTTATTATATATATATATATACTGTATTATTAATGTTAAAATCGATAGTTTTAAATATATATATATATATATATATAATTTATCAATTATTAATTATTAAATAAAATATAAAAATTATTTTGTATTATTGTTGACTATTTGTTATCAATATATTTAAATACAGTAAATATCTAAATAAAGTATTTTTAGTTTAACATTAACATAATTATTATATACATTTGACACTATATGTGTTATTTAGTATTATTATTATATTTGATACAATAATACAGAATATTTCACAATTTAAATAAAATTTATGTAATACTTACACATACTTATGATAACAACAACAATAAAAAATAGTATCAAATATCATAATTTTTTTTCAAAAAGGAAATGAAATACTATTTCAATAAAAAAAACTAAATATATATATTTTTTTTTTATATTAAGCTTTCAATATGATTATACATGAAAAACATATTGAATAAATAGAAAATATTTTTAACAATATATATAAAAAAGTATTATAACTACAAAAAAATTTTGCTTAAAAATAATTGGGTTTTTTAAAAAAAAATAAATTAATAATATGTAAACAAATTTTTTTTTGAGAGAGAGATTTGTAAATATATTATTTATTTTTACAACAACAAAAATTTTGTTAAACAAAAATAATTTTCCTTTAAAGTCAATCAATCATTTGATTAATTTAAAAACAATATTATTTTATTTACTGTAATTAATACAATTTTTATATAGCCATATATTTCAATTATTAATATTATTATATCTCACTATTATTAGTATTTTTATTATTTTTTTGTTTTGAATAATTTAAATTTTGTTTTAAGAGTCTCCTTGAATTTAAATTCAAAAAACATAATTTTTTATTTCAAACAAACAAAAAATAACATTAAATTATAAATAGTTTTGTATATATCATGCAAATTACAAAATGCTTTTATAAAACATTAGTGTTTCAAAAAAATATATCATAAGTTAAAAGTTGTTATATATTATTATAAGTTATAATATAATTTTGTCATGCATTAAAATAATTTTATTATCATTATTATTATTAATATTAAATTTGATTTTTATATAATTTAATAATATATAATATCACATTAAAAATATTATTATTTTTATTTTTATTATATGACTCTCATTAGTAAATAAATGTTGGCAATAATTTTATTTCAAACATTTTTATTATTATTATTATTATTAACAACTCAAACAAAATGAAATTGAATTTATATATAATAGAAAACCACTTTTTTTTTATATGTATTAAATATGATATAAAAATTATTTATATATATATATATTTGGCCAGAAAAAAATCTCATATTTACTAAAATATTTATTTTTGATACTATTGAATTACATTTATATACTTATTTAATATATTTTATTTTTTACATTTATATATTTATACTCATAGGAGTTAAAGTTTATATAACTTTTTGTTGTTGTTGTTGTTGTTTATAAAAATATATTGATTTTTTTTTATTTTATATTTAACACCAAAAGTTTGAATGTCATATGAGTGCACAAAAAAACGTTATTTAAGTTTTATATATATATATATATATAGTATATACAAAATTGCAATAAAAACATTATATTTATAAAGAAAATATATAAGTTGTTATATTTAAGTTTATATATTATATTATATATATATATGTTTTTTTTCACCAACAAAATTTTTTTTGTGCTAACAATATGTTTTTTTTGCTACTAAAAGAAAATATAACTATTATATTATAATAGGTCTCTATAACACACACACACACACACACACACACACACAAAGTGATAGTAAATGACAAAAATAAAAATTTTTATTTAACAAAAATTTATATATATTTATATAAAAACCTTATTTTCTTTAGAAAAAAAACTTTCAATGAATCCTAATGTGATTTATGTGTGTTTGGTATATAATGTTGTTGTTATTATATTGTTGTATATACTGTATATAAAATAACATTGTTTCAGACATACAAAAACAAACTTTTTAAAAAAAAACAATATTAGATTAAAGTAAACTTTTTTTTAATAACAAAAACAAAACAATAATAGAGAAAAAAAACTTTAAAAACCTGGATAAAAATAATAGTAATATTATTATTATACTATTAACTATACGGTATATATTTTGATTAAAGTTTTTTAAAAATTGAACTCATAATATAGTATTATATTATTGTGTTATTGTTTAATAACTTTTTTGTTGTTGTTGTTGTTGTTATTAAACTACAATATATTTAGTTATATATAATAATAATTAATTAAATAAAATATTCAAAATTTAAATATCAAAAAATATTTTTTATTATTATTTTCTTTATATCAAAATTTGCTATTATTTTCAAATTATTATTATTAAGTTTTTTTAATACTATAATGATATTATTATTAATATAATTATAAGAAAAAACTGTATTTTTATTGTAAAATAATACTGTAATTAACTATTTATAACTAATTAAATCCAATTGAGCTATCATTATCATCCATGGTCATCATCATCATCATAATTGTCATTATAATCATCAATTAGCATAATTAATAATGATGTCCATGATGATGATGGTGTTTATGGTGATGATGATGATGGTCGTTATGGCCGAATACATTATCGGCTATCGCACCCAATAGGCCGCCGCTACTTCGGGTATGATGGTGATCCTCGATAATGGTCACATTGGGTGCTACGGCTGTCGGCACATAAATAGGCGGTCCGGGCGTAATCACTGGTGCCACGTAGGCGGGCGGCGCCGGATAGCTAACCGTTTGCGACGGCGGATAATAGGGAGCCGACGGTGCGCTCGGATAGACCACAGTAGTCGCTGCCGACGACGGATAAACAGTTGTCTGGTTATAATGTGAGTGTCTGTACTCTAGCCTATGTACGTCCAGATGGCCCTCGATGTTCAGTATACGTATCTCGTGATAGGGTACCCGATGATAATAGGTGGCCACTTCGTGGCCGTCCATACGTATACGATAGTAGCCGTGTTCGACAACAATTTGTATATCAAACGTACAGCCGTGACCAAAATGATGGCCCCAGTTATGGTGTTTTTCTTTCCGTCCCCAGTGGCCATAGTGTCGGGAATTCAGTATGACTTTACGTTTGTGCGGTTTGACCCGAATCTGTAGGGCAATGTTCGAGTGATGTTCGGCGTGATGGCCCATCTCGTGCCCGGTAAACAAATTGATTTCCATTTTGTGACAATGATGTGGTACGTGACCGCTAATCTGGATAACCGAACCGGGATGTACACCACCGTCGGGTATATGTCCCCAGTAGGGCAGCGGCGGATAGCTTATGATATGCATAGTTGTTGTTGTTGTTGTTGTATTTGATGATCACTTAAAATCTAGGTTTTAATACTAAATTAATTGGCAAACAGTTGGCACCGTTAGATTTTTTTTCTCTCTCTCTTCAATATAATACACTGTATATTACAAACACACACACACACGCATATACACACCCGTCTAACAATACCTTACTGATGGTTATGTCGTGTCATCACTACTGGTGCTATAAATTTATAGCTAATTAATTGTTATTGTAAGTTAGTTAGATATACGTTATATTATTACTGTATATATATATTGTGAAATACCAGTGCAATACTAGTTTTTTATTTAATTTAATTTTTATCATTTTATGATACAATTATTGTATAGTTTAATTGAGATATACTATTATTTTTTTTTGTATTCAAGTACTTTAGGTAGGTTTTTTGTAGTTGTTATGGTTTAAAAAAAGCACACTGGTAGTCAAATATATTATACAATGGTTAGGCTATATCATATTTCAATTGCAATATGCAATGAGTCATATATTTGAAAAAAATTATCTAAAATATTTTTTTTATTTGTTTAATTTGATAACTATTTTTTTGAAGCATACAATTAGTAATTAATTAAATAAAAAAATATATTTACGTATTAATTGATTTATTGATATTTTTTATTTTTTTTTATTTATTGATATATTAATGGCTGTACCCTTAATGATCATTACAATGCTATTTAGTAACGTATTTATTTGCTTATAATAAAAATTGATATTATAAAATGTTATTGATTGAATTTACGTCAATTTAGGAGATGAATAATTATATAAATATATACAGTACATATTGTAATATATTGTTATTATAAATTATAATCTCTAAAATAATAAATAAAATAAATTTGTTATCATTAGATTTATCAATTTATATTTAGTATACAAAAATAAATGCCAGTAAGATATATGCATAGTTACAAATGTTGATAATTGTTTTTATTAGTATTATTATTATTATTTATATTTGTAATAAAAATGTATTAATAATTTTTTTACTAATTATGTATAATATAGTCAAGTATAGTAGTTTATTCAAAAGTTTATCACTAAAAATTTTACAAATAGTATTTCAATTAACATTTTAAAATTAAATTATTGTCAATCAATTTTTTGTTGTTGCTGTTGGCATTAGATGATAATGATTGTTATTATTATAGTCAAAATTGTGTTATACTATTATATATATATATATATATATATATATATATATATATATTGTATACAACATATTATATAACAAATATTATAAATAACTACTACTACTGTACATACTTTACAACAATAGTAGTAGTAGTAGTAGTAGTAGTGTTACAAATGTTATCAATAATATTGTATTCAACAACAACAACAAAAATGTATATAAATTTTATTTTTATTATTTTGTTAGACTCGCGTCTCTCTTTCTCTCGCATATTTCAATTGTTATATAATATGATATATAAATTTTCAAAAAAATAAAAATTAAATGTCAAACAAACATATAACCGAAAAAAAATAGTTTATGCGTATTATTGTTATCATTATTATCTCATATCATATATAACACCCACACATAAGGTAATCTAACTCTCTCTCTCTCCCTCTCTCTCTCTCTCTCTCTCTCTCTCTCTCTCTCTCTCTCTCTTTCAACAAATTTCATTGCATTTACTTAAAAGTAAACATAAAGTGTGATAATATAGTATAACAAAAATATATACATAAATAATAATTACTCTTAACATACATGTCTGGTATCTATCCATCCATAGCCGCCCCCGCAGACCAACAATCCTTTTAGCAAACAGTTGTCAATAAAAAACAACAACCAAAAAACAGTAATAACTATATAGTTATATAATTATTATACTAATAACGACAACCAATTCCATAGCACTGGTATCTCAACAACAACAAAAAAACACATAACTAACTAATTATGAAGTGTCCAATAGGCCAATACTATTTCATAGTCATCTTGAATATGGCCATAATGTCCAGTATCTACTTGTTGTCGGCACTGGTATCCTATTCGCCCATTTATGAAACTGACGAAACAATAGTAACATTTGGCTTCATATCGATTATTGTAATGAAAAGAAAAACTAATTTTTAGTTATTTTTTTTTGTTAACAATTTTCATATATAATATATAATATTGATGATAGTGTGTGTGTGTGTGTGTGTGTGTGTGTGTGTGTGTGTAGTATAAACAGAGATTGAGATATAATACTATTTTTTATAAATCAGTTAAAAAAAATTATCATAAATTTATGATAAAATTTTTTGCTGTCAAACATCATTGTCTACAAACACACACACACACACACACACTCACACATACACACTATAAGAAAAAATATTTTATACTGTTATACGATATTATAGAAAATATTAGACTAACTATAGCTATAATAATAATAATAATAATAGAAAATTGCTTACAATATATGCCAATAACAATAACCATAACTTTTGTCGTTGTTTTTGTTGTTTTTTTATCTTTGGTATATGTTATACCATACCATATCGACCACCACCATCACCATCACCATCATAATTATCATCATAGGCACTGATAGGTACACCATTTGGCTATTTGGGCTGTCTATGGCAGAAGCCGTGCCTATTGCTGATATCGGTGATTATCAGTTCGCTATTGTGTGCCATACAAGTCATCTATTTGGCTCTCTATATATGGCTTAGTACGAGGAGATAATTATAATTTTTATATATATATATATATTTATTTATTTATATACTGTATATATACACACTGTCTCTGACAGTGTGTGAGAGAGAGAGAGAGAGAGAATATGTTTATCTCTTTTTTTATCATAAAGTAATTGATTGTGTCATCAAATTTTAGATGAATCTCTTTTAACAACAATCTCTCTCTCTCTCTCTCTCTCTCTCTCTCTCTCTCTCTCTCTCTCTCTCTCTCTCTCTCTATCTATCTATCTATCTATCTATCTATCTTTCACTTCACAATCAATACACATACAAAAAAAACCATTCATTTGATTAACCATTTTATTCTTCATATTCTTTACTTATTATTATTATTATTATTATTATTCATCTTCTAGTCGACAGTGACTTCAAGTACTATCCAATGCATCACTCGTTGGTTTTCATATGCTTTCTATTAAACTTTGTCTCAATACTGTTGGCCTCAATATTGCTGATCACTTGTCTCAACAAATATCAAACATCAACGACAACAACACCAACAATGTCAACAACAACACCACCGACTACTACGACAACAACAACAAAAGTCAAAGATCTCAAACATGATTAAGACTTTTTTTTATTGCATTTTTCTGTATGTGTTGTATATGTTTTTATTAGTATTATTATTATGTTATTGTTGTTGAAGTCTCTCTCTCTCTCAGTCTGTATATCTAATAGTCCAGAAAATAGCTATAAGTTTTGATATATATATATATATATTGATATAAATTTATATATAGTTTATGTAAACTTTTGAAAATCCAAAAATTACTGATTTGTTTTTTTGTTGTTTTTGTTGTATACAACCATTTATTTTGAATTTTATTTTTTTATCTCTTTCCTTATTTTTTTAATGTTTATATTAAATAAATGAGTCTACAATTTATTGTATACATAACATCTCCTTAATCTTATAGTTTATTTACTGTAATTTATATATATATATAGTATAGTATATTAATAGTATGTTTTTTTATAGACAATAAATTGCCATAAATAAATGTATTTATTTATATTTATATATAGCCTATGAGATTATAATACTGTAGTTTAGTTTTTTATTTATTTAATATAATTTAATATAAATAATAGTTATTTATAGTACAGTATATATCAGTTTATATATATATATTCTGTATATAACTGGATATAAATTTTGTTTTATTTATTTCTATAGTTATATTAATCTCAATTGTATCAATAAATTTTTGTTTTTTGTTTTGTTGTTGTTGTTTAGTTTCAATATTGTATATAATATTATATACAGTATAATATATAGTATATATATTTATTATGTGATAAACATCTAACAAAATGTTATCAACTAATAATGATCTTTTAAAAAAATATATATATGTATAATAAAATAACACAAATTAAAATTTTCAAAAAATATTTATTAAATTATTAGTCACACAATAATATATAATTTTATAGTTTATTTTATTGAGAAAAAAAGCAATTAGTAATTATTAAAAGTATTATTTATTTATTTTTTTTAAATGACTAATAAAAAATATCAAATAAAAAACACAATTCAATTCAATGATATTATTATTATATTAATAGTTTTGTAGTATTTATTTAACATATAAATATATTAAACAGTATTAACCTTAACCTTACGATAATATGTTTTTTTTGATATAATAGGAAATGTTTGATACATAAGAAATATTAGTTATATACTGTATATATGATATTTCAATACTGTACATACAAAACATATATTGATTCAATAATGATAATAATGATTATTATTATTATTATTATTATTACAATCAACATTAACATTACAATCGTAATATTTTATGGATAATTACTAGTATCATGTAAACCAGCGATAAAATAATAAAAAATATATTTTTTTTAGATATATATATAGTATTAATAAATATATTTTTTTGTAATCTTATTGTTTGTCATAACATTTTCGTATATAAATATGTAATTGTCATGAATTTCATACGAAAAAAATCATATTTGATATTAAGCTTAGTCTACATTTACATTAAAACACATACACACACATACACACACATACATACACATAGACACACTCATACACACATACACACACATACACACACATACACACACATACACACACACTCATACATACATACATTCATACAATGGATATATAAAAAAAATTATAATAATAGCTATTTAAGTCTAATGTATTATTTTGATAACAATTGCTATGCTAACCATTAGTTTTAATTTTTTTTTATAATATTAATTATACATAAATAAATTATATAAATACAGTAAAATAATACTGTACAGTATATGTAAAATTGGCAAAATAAATTGTCAAAATAATTATACTTAATTAACAAAAATAAAAAATTTAGATAGAAAAAAATAAAATGATAATAAAATTAATTGTTAGACTTATAATTTCAAATACTATTTGTCTTAAATTATATACAGTATATAGATATAGTGTATTTATATATATATATATACAGTATGTCTAAACATTGTGTACTATTGATTAACAATTAAATATATATATATACTATATATTCGTGTGTGTTTGTAATGTGATTTTAGGCATTGAAGCAAAATTAAATAAATATTGTATAAAAGTTTGTCTATTATATATATATAATGTACTATTAATATAATTTATATATATATATTAAACATTTAAAAATATTTGCTTTAAATTTAATTTATGTATAAATTTTGTATAAATTTTTTATGTGTTTTTTTATAAATGCCAAATAATAATAATAACTAGTGTACAATATATTTGAATATACATATAAATAAATGAATTAAACTAACAAAAAATTAACAGTATTAACGTATATATTATTTATTTATTTTTATCTACCCATTGAAAAATACAGTATAATTATTATGCATAATATATGTATAAATGAATTAGTAGTGAAATATTATTATTATTATTACTATTTATTTTATTAATATTTTATAATAATATATTCATTAATATTATTATTATTATTTGGCAGCATTTTATCATTAGCATAATATTTTGGCACCAATTGAAAAATAAAAGGTAAGATTTATAGTTCAAATTTTTATTTTGTTTTGCTTTTATTTTAATATATATATATATATATCAGAATATTCTGTATATATATTAATAATATCAAACATATTATTAATTTAATTTTTCATAGATTACTCATAAGATAAATAGATAGCATGTAAAACAGTATATATATATATACTGTATAACATATTTGTTATATATGTATATATAACTAATTTAATTCAATTATCTATATTATAAAACATGATGATTAATTATTTTAGTAATTTTTGATTAACTTTATATTCAATATATATATATATATAAATGTTTAATAGAAAACTAAATATACTTTTTTCTACTAAATAAAGTTGTTTGTGATTAAGCTTTACTAAAAACAATATTAATATTATTTAATTATTAGATATATTATATTATATATACTAGTATATGTAGCAAATATTATTAGGAAAATTGATGAATTTATAATGCTAATATTAATATAATTAAATTAATTGATAAAAAATATTTTTTTTATTAGTTTATTATAAAAAGTAACAGTAAGTGTTGCTTATCATATTTATAATATAATGTTTACTAACAAATATTTATAAAAAATATATATATGATATAAATGTTATAATTAATTATTTTGTTTGTCTGTTATTAATAATATTGATTAATTGATTATTTTCTTTGAATACAGTATATAAATCTATAGTATAATATTGTATATATATATATATATATATATATATATAGTATATGTTAGTATAGTTGTCAAAGTGTTGACTAAATGGGGGCCACATTTATTTGTGGCTATCAATTGATGTCAATTTAACAAATTAATTAAATAGTTTGGTTTTTATATATATAATATATTTACTATACTATATATATATATATATATATATACTGTATAACATACATACCAATATAACATACATACAGTACACAAAATTGTGTAACTTATTTGACAGATAATACTAATAATAATATCATTTACATAGTTTGCAAACATATATAATACATTATACTGTACTATGGGTACAGTATTTCATTGACATTAAGACAAAACAAAAAAAAATTTATTTATTATTAGTGTAATATTTTTTTCTGCAAACGCAAACATTTATATCAATCTACCAGTGCTTTAGCACTAATAACCAATTGCCTAAGTTATATATATATATAACATATATACTGGTAATATGTTACATATTAGCACTTTTACTTTTTTTTTATTTGATATAAGTTAATATATATATTGGGTATATCAAATTAATCCAATAAACTATAATATAAGATATATATATATATATATAAATTTAGGGCAAATTCACAATTTATTATTAGATATACTATAATTTATATATACTGTATATAACTTTTATTGTTGGGCTAACACATACAAACATATATATACACACAATAAGACATATATATAAGACATTTTTTTTGGTCAGCCTTTAGGCTAATAATAATGCTGTCAAACCAGTACCAGATCAGCGCCGGTGATATGGCGGCAAACCTACAGAAACTGCCAATCGATGGCAACAATAATAACAACAATAACGGCAACAATATGCCAACTAAACAGCCAACACAACCACCACCAAACAGATTGGCCATCGGTTGGCTGGATCTGACATTTTATGGCCGATCGCTACTATCAATGTGTCGCCAACCGAAAACCATATTAAACGAAATTAGCGGCACCATTGATTTCGGTACATTAGTAGCACTGATGGGACCGTCAGGTGCTGGCAAGTCGACACTACTCAAGTGTATCAACGGTCGTACCAAGTCGGGTGTCGGCAAGTCGTCCACAATATATTTGAGTAGCAGTCGGCCGATTAGGTCGTGTTTTATTGTACAAGACGTTACCGAACACCTGCTAATGGGTTTAACAACTATGCAATCGTTGGTCTATTCGTCCAAATTGAAAAATGTTGACCAAGAAGGTAGTGGTGGTGGCGGTCGAGTAGACCATCGGCTGAATGCCCGACGAATGTTGGCCGACCTGATGATCGGCGATACGGCCGATACTTATGTGCAAAACTGTTCGGGCGGTGAACAAAAACGACTGGCCATTGCCCTCGAACTGATGGCCATCAATAAGCCTAATCTTATGTGTATTGACGAACCGACCAGCGGTCTGGACAGTAATGCAGCTGAAATTGTGCGTTAAATCATCATCACTACYACCACCACCACCACCACCACCACCACCACCACCACCACCACCACCACCATCACCATCACCATCACCTACCCTCCCGTTTAATAAATAATTAGTTTAAAAAGCACCTACACTTTAATTTTAAAATCAGTCACACATTTATTTTATAACATTTGATAACTTAGTTTATCATTATTTTAGTTTAGTTTTTGTGTGTGTTGTGTGTCTAATGTAAATGTATTTTATTATTATATTTTCTTATCGCTTATTTTTTTTATCTCTCTCTCTCTGTATGTGTATGTCTATGTTTATTATTATTATTTTTTGGATGGACAGGTAGTTCAAGTACTGAAAAACGTGTCCCGCAAGCATAACATGGCAATCGTGACGAGCATACATCAGCCCAACAGCGATGTACTAATGCTTTTCGATCAGCTCTATGTACTGGGAAAAGGTGGCCTATGTGTCTACGAAGGTCCACCCAATCAGCTCCGGGATCATCTAAGCCGATCGGAGTTTGAATGTACCGAACATCAGGTTCCCATTGAATTGCTGTTGAAGATTGCCTCCAAACCGGATCACAATCTCCAACGATTAGCTAATCAGACCGTAAAGTCGAGACAGTCGTTGAGAAACAAGTGCCTAATCGAAGGACAGTTGGCTCCCAATGGTATTGAACCGAAAACACCCGGATTTAACATTAGCCAGACATGGTATCTGTTTCAGCGTACAGCTGCCTATTCGTTCAAATCCCAGTGGAAGGCAATGGTCGGCCAGTTTGTCTGTATTGTAGGACTGAGCTATATATTGACAACAATCTATAATAAAAATATCGGTCAACCAGACGGTTGTTTTGCACTTATAGACAATGATTTGTCGGCCAATGACGGCAATAGTAGTGGTGTGACGACGACAGTCGGCTGCGATAAGACAGTGGAAGTCCTTAAAGTCGAGTATCTGTTGTCACAGAATCTTAGGTTTACCTTCTTTGCCGGTCTGATGATACAGTTTCTGTTGACAGTGGGAACGACACTAATATTTGCCACCGAAGTCAAGATATTTATTAATGAACACAAAAATGGTGTGTATTTTGTAAAATATATATTTTTGTTATTTTTATAAATTTCATACAGATTTGCAATAAACTTTATGTATGATGTGTTATATTCGATATATATATATATTTATCTATAGATAAAAACAAAATTTAAAAACACAATATTCTATCATTATTTATATAGCTTTTGCTATGAGTGGGTGTGTGAGTTAGTGAGTGAGTGATTGAGATTAAGAGAGAGAGAGAGAGAGAGAGAGAGAGAGAGAAATAAAGATGAAGAGTGATGGAGAGGGAGGACATAAAGTATACAGAATATTCTGTAAACTTTAGTGAGAGAGAGAGAGCCAATAGATTGGTGTATAATAAAAAAAATGTTAGACATAAACACACATTTATATATATAGAAAAAGTAATTAAGAAAATAGTGTGTAATTAGTTTTTTACTACATTTACTTTAATTGTTGCTAACATTTTTTTTATTTGTTATTTGTTAGGCCACAGTGTGTGTGTGTGTGTGTGTGTGTGTGTGTGTTTGTGTGCAAGCAATACTAATAAAACTAAATAATAATACACACACACACACACACACACACACACACACACACACACGATATATTGTATTACTTGCCCATAGTCTAGCCAAGCACTGGTAGCTGCTTATGTCTAGCATGTATGAGCTGTAGTAGTAGTAAAACTACTGTAACAACATTTTATGTATTATTATTATTATATTATATATAAAATTGATATTGTGTTTAGTTGAAGGAAAATAGCTTTCATTTTCACTTTACATTAGTTTTAACGATAATACATATTAACACACACATAGACACACACATACACACACATACACACACATAGACACACACACATACACACACATACACACACATACACACACATACACACACATACACACACATACACACACATACACACACATACACACACATACACACACATACACACACATACACACACATACACACACATACACACACATACACACACATACACACACACACACACACACACACACACACACACAYACACACACATACACACACATACACACACACAGCAAATATCAAATGATAATAATATGTGAAACCTAACTCCCATTAATGAGTGTCACATAATCTTTATTATATCTTATATACAATAATTTTGTTTTATGATATATGACATAAAACTAATAATAAATTATATATAATTTTATTGTATTATTATATGTACAATATATTGGTATGGTATATATATATATCGTATTGTCCAAAAATTGTTAGCTGAAGGTTTACTATAAATAGTACTAATGTAAAAATTATGTCGTTTTATAAAGTAATATCTTAAGTAATTAAACTATAAATTTCATCAAAATCTGACAATTAGTTTTAAAGATATTTAAATTTATAAAAAACAAAACCTGATTATTTTTTTAAACTTAAGACATTTTATATTAAGACATGATTTACTTTAAAATTTATCCATCTATTAATTTATTTTAAAATATTTAATCTATCAACACTTACTTAGGAACAATTCTAGTTTCATATAATTCAATAACTAAATTGGTACTACTCATAATAAGACGGTGACATTAATTTAAATATGACTATATTTTTTACATTAATTTTAAGTATTTAAAAAAAATTAATAGTAAGTTTACAAAAATTTGACATGTCATTACTTAGAACAAATGTTATACTTTCCTCGCAAATCAGTTGCAAAAATAAATAATTATTACTTATAGTAAAATTATTATTTTATTGTAAATTTAAGTTTATGATCAAGTTATGTAGTTTATAAACAAATGCTTATTAAAAATATAAAATGTTAATATAAAATAACCAATTATATGCTATAAAACAATCAGTATTATAGGTATTTGCTATTTTAATTTCGACAAAATATCTTTACAAAAACAAAAGTTATATAACTTTAAATATAAACATTCAATTATTTTAGTTGTAAACTTATAAATTTATTTATGTCTTATTTAATAGCATTCGTTATTTAAGAAAATCTAATTACTTTATATAATAGTAGACATGTTTTAGTTTATTAATAATTGTGTAAAATTTATTTTAATATAAAGTAAACTTTTAAAATTTGCATTGTTTTATAATTATTGCTATGTTAATAAAGTCTATCAAAACTTATTTTAGTCGAATATTTTATCTAGATAATAGTATATATGTTATATAAGTGAGTATTTAGATACTCTTAACTTTCATTTATAATTTTTGTAAAAATTAATTTTTGTAGTAATCTAATTACTGTATAAAAAGAGTTTATAAGTTAAAAATATAGTAGTTTTTAAAAATAATTTTAGGAGGCGTATAATATGTGGCGTAATTGGTTTACCATGTGCATTGATTCTTTGAATAACTGTTCTTAGTTGACATATTATTAGATTTTATTAAATCTTTATAATAAAGCTACAGCTTAAAATTTTCGGACAATACGATATATATATATATATATATATATATATATAAAACATAATCGACATATATTGTATAAATATATCACTTTATATAATATACTGTATATTATATACAATCATTAAAGCTTATATATATATATAAAATTATATGATAATAATTGACATAAAATTTTTTTATTTGTCTTTTTTTTTATAATGGACAGGTTGGTATAGCACTGGTAGCTACTATTGGGCCAAAAGTATTGTCGAATTGCCATTGAATTTGATAATAGCCCTGTTCTACGTAATCATACTCTATCGGCTAAGCAATCAAATTGACGAACAAAATCGTTTTGTCGGCTATCTGATAGTCATAACGGCCGGTGCCCTGTGTTCACAGGGACTGGGCTTTACCATTGGTATTGTTGCCAATACTAACGACAAGCTAGCCATTGTACTATCAGTCGGGACATATCTGACCTATATTATGTTGTGCGGTTTTTTTGCACCCATCGATGAATTACCCGAATCTATCCGATGGATAACYCAYGGRTCATATGTTAAGCAAACATTTGAAATGCAATTGTTTCTGATCTATGGTTTCGACCGATGCCCTCAGGGTCTGGAGTCGTCAATACTATATCAGAATAATTTGCGTGAATCGGATAAATTCTGGCGAAACGCCCTAATACTGGCCATACATACTGTCAGTTTCCGATTGACGGCACTGTTGGCCTTACTGTCCAAAGCCAATACGTTTTCGTTGACAGGTTTTCGACGTTCAACGTCCTCCTCTCGGACAACACGTACAGACAAATTGTTTAGCGAAACACCCGTACAGGAGATTAATAATTACATGTGATTTGTTTGTTTGTTTTTTGGTTTTTATTGGTTAGGTTAGCTCCTAATTAGGTGTATCCTTTCTCATAGAAAACATATATATACCGTATATATATTATTTTCTTTGATTTATCTGTAATTTTGTGTGTGTGTGTGTGTGTGTGGTGTGTGTGTATGWATATACTGTATAGTAGTATAGTTGGGAAACCACACACTATTGAATTTTATTATTAATACAGTATAACACTTACACACACACATACACACACACACACACACACACACACACACACACACACACACACACACACACACACACACACACACATAGTACGAGTGCTCTGTTAAATCTATTTAAGTCTATTAGCTTTATTAAAGTCATCGACACACACACACACACACACCACCACTGACTGACTGCTCTGGGGATCGATAGCCCGAAACTTTTCGATACAAACCATTGGCTTTCAACTATCAATATATATATATATATACAATATCAATAAATTATATACACTATTATAGATACAATATATTACAGTATATTGTATAAAAAACTAATTTATATTGATATAAATTTATATAAAAACATAATACAGATTTCTTTTTTCAATGAGTTTGTTTGTGACAATATATATATATATWTTTTGTATAGAAGTAAACATATAAATCTCTTATATATAAAATTATATTTATATATATATCTCGTAAAAACCTAATAGTTAATATTATATTTACTTTTTATATATATATATATAGTATATACCGGTATATTATACCAAACTATTATATACTGTATCACATGTTGTTTTAATATCGATTTATTTTTGAACGATTAAACACTGAAAATCGAAAAATTATTTACTCTTTTTTTCACGAGTGTTTGCACACAAACTACACGGCACTGTTAGTCCACATACCGTTCCCATTCATACACGAATATATGGTGTGTGTGTGTGTGTGTGTGTGTTTTCAAAGCTTATATACCATTTATATTGTATATAAACCCATTATACCAGTGTGTGTATGTTTGGATAGTCCATTCATATTACGAGTCTATCAGCCGTAACCTCTCTTTAAATTTTTTTTTGTATATATATATTATTTTGTTGAGACCATAAAACCATAGCTGAATGCCCATTAAGTGGTAAGCACTGTCGTGTGTGTGTGTGTGTGTGTGTGTGTGTGTGTGTGACTACCAGTGCACTGAATATATATATAGTATATGCAAGAATCCTACAGAATATTGAGAGGACTAAAAAATAGTACTAATAATAATAAAGAAGATGATGAAGAAAATTGGGAATTACTGGACATTATGTTTAGTTCAATGACTACATAGTATTATTGAATACTGTATATACAGTATATACCATATAGTCTACTGTATATCCCATATACCGTATATCCATATATATATACTGTATATTATGTTTATTGTGGATGCGTTAAGCAATAAAATAGTTTATTGCCATTCATGAGCACTGTTAGCCCATTCACATTGTGGAGACAGAATATTCTGCTATTCTCTCTCTCATTTGCTCACTCATCCGCTCTCTCTCTCTCTCTCTCTCTCTCTCTCTCTCTCTCTCTCTCTCTCTCTCTCTCTCTCTCTCTTAACTTATTAGTTATGGTCGATAAACGAGCCAAATATTATTTACTTATTTACTTACCCTCATTTTATATATATATATATATATATATATATATATATATATATATATATATACATAGAGTACAYGACCAAAGTTATGAACCGTCCTATGATTTATAGTCGCCAAAAGAGCCGGACATGTATTTAATATCTTGACTATTGAATAATAGTGAGTGAGTGAGTGAGTGAGTGAGCACTGGTATGTTGTCATTGTTGTCATGTATTTGCTGCACACACACACACATACACACACACTCACTATATAAATTGCTTCGTCGGCAAAGTCATACCAAAAAAAAATCATACATAATATTAAATACCAGCAAAAAAAACTTTAAGTCTATTTGTACAGACATTTAGAGAAATATATGTATTATTAGATCTTAATATTAACAGAAAATTATTAATGTTTAATAAAGAGTTCATATTATTATTATTATTATTATTATTATTATTATTATTATTATTATTATTATTATTATTATAATATTATTATTTTTTAATATTATTAGTATTGCAATACCAATTCATTTATGGCTGGCTAACCATTGAATAATATATATATATGCAATTTATTGACACACAATTTAGTTTTCCATTTTTTCATCATATTTTCTAATGTGTTTATCAGTGTGTTGTCAATTTTATATAGTTTTAACACTCTTTAATAACCATTTATGTGGGACTGAATCGAATGCTTTCTTATAGTATATATATGCAATTTATATGTAATTTATATATTTATATAAAATATGTCTAACTATTATTAATATATATATAAAATATGTGCATTTATTTAGCAACTATAGGACCCTCCTTTATATATCACCAAAAAACGAAAATAAAAATAAAAATGTATATTTAATAATAATAATAATAAATATTRTATAATGATTTTTCAATGCTTTTGACATCATATGCACAGTAGTAGTAGTAGTAGTAGTATTATTATTATATGATAGATAAATGATTTGGTTTATACCAGTATTTTTCTAAACATTGATTAAACATAGAAGAGAGAGAGAGAGAGAGAGAGAGCAAATAAAATTCAATAGGAAATGTTGTTTAATTCATAATAAAAAAATAATAATAATTTATTGATAATACTGCACTTTTTTTGAAGCCAATGCCATGTAGTAGTGTCTAGTAATCCTAGATTTTTAATGTCATATTTAACACACAAACACATACACACTGAGAGAGAGAGAGAGAGAGAGAGAGAGARAGATTTACTTTACTCACTATTTATGGTTAAGCCCACAGAATCACAGAATTAATTTGTTTTTTTTTTGGTAAAAATCTAAATAAAGTTTTGTATTTATATACACATTATATATACARTATATGATATCTTTACATAAATCTTTATGTTATACTACTATTTACTGTATACAGTATATCATAAATATGATGTATAATATATATTATATATTGTATATAATAAACTACAGTATATTATTAATGTATATACACTTTTATATACAGTATATATATATATATATATATTGCTCRTATGGCTACTACTACTACTACTACTACTACTACTACTGTWTCTATCAATATATTACAGGGGTATTGAGGCTATAATAAACTCAAATTTAATATTATTGATGACTTATGAAGACTAAGAAAAAAATATATACAGAAATGAAAGTATGAGAGAAGAGCATTGAATTTCATATCATTTTTTATCCCATGTGTAGAAAAATAGTATATATATATACAGTATATATAGATATTTATATATATACACACAWAWATATATTGTATATATATTGTATTTTTATTTTGTTGTGGAAAATAACTCTCTCTCTCTCTCTCTCTCTCTCTCTCTCTCTCTCTCTCTCTCTCTCTCTCTCTCTCTCTCTCTCTCTCTCTCTCTCTCTCTCTCTCTCTCTCTCTGCTATATATTTAAAGAAAACTTTGGTCTCAATAACAACAATATATATATATATAAATCTATAATACAATAACTCAAATCTTATGAAACAATTTATATAAATTTTTTTTCATATAATTTATATATTTTTATATTGTTGTGCTCTCTCTCTCTCTCTCTCTCTYTCTCTCTYTCTTTCATAACTCTCTCCTTACTCTTACTATATTATACTCTCGACACTAGAAAAAAATAAGAGATAATTGATTGCAATAAACGAATCGATTTATTGATCGATTTTATTTTACACTCAATTCATTGTCGAAATAATAAAAACTCTAAGATTTATATACATTTTATATCTATCTATTGGTATATATTGTTAACATTATTTATATACAGTGTATATACAGTACTATATTTTGTTGTAATATATATATATATATATCTAATCTTACAGTAGTAAACATTTTCCTCTATCTATCTAACTATCTATCATTTAAGTTGTTGTTATTGTTGTTAGTTTTTAGTTACAAACTATATATAAATATACAGTATATTGCTTATTGTTAATATAATATATATATAATTTTTTTTGAGGGGGGGGGGGGTTATAAATAACAGTTTGGCTAATAAAATATCAAATTTATAGATAAAAATAGGGATAACTATAAATTTTTTTTTAAGTTTAACTCATATTAAATCTAACAGTGATTTACTATTTTACTATTATTATTATTATTATTATTATTATTATTATTATTATTTTAGGATACTTAATTTTATTATTTTGTTATCTATTTGTAAAAATGTTGGAAACAGTAAATTGTTTTAATGCAATTATTATTTTATATATATATATATATATGAAATATATTTTTTTATTTTTATTAGTTTAATGTCCGTAATATATTGCTAGTGTGATATATGATTTGTGATAAAATAAACTTTTTTTTATATTAAAAATAAAATAAAAATTAATTTAATAAAATTTGTTAAAAGCAATGAATAAAATTTATTTATATATATTTATATGTTTATGTTATTTATCATATTAAATTACCTATCGTATTTTTTAAAAAATGCTATTCATAAATTATAACATGTTTAAATGAAATTAAATAAATAATAATAATAATAATTTATTATAATAACAAATATAGTTTTTTATTTGTTTTATTAAATTATATAAAATTTATATTTATGTTTTATACAGTTATTACAATTATATTTTTGTTTGTTTTTTATTAAATTATATAAATCTATAATATTAATTTATATACAACAAAATTTTACAACACAATATTTTTTAGTGTATTATTGTATTAATACTGTATATAATTTATATATAATTTTTTATGTCTATGTGTTTGTGCTATTTTGTGTWTGGGTTTGTTATAGCTTACAATACCAGTTAGTTAGTGATTGAGATATATATATATATATACTATACTATACAAACTCACACACAAATACAATAGTATTATTGGGTTAAACAATAAGTCAAATCAAAACCATATTTACAGACAAATGGTTTGGAAATAATCTCTAATAACAAAATTGTCTCTCATTTTGAAAGTAATTTAATAAATATATATATATAATATGTGTATAAATACTATATATATATATATATATATCTATATATATACATTATTTTTCTGTATTATAAGTTAACATATTTTTAGTCAATATATTTGACATTATATACGGTAATTAATAATAATGTTATCTCTCATTCACTTAACTATTAACCAACTAATGCTATAAATTATATTATTATTATTATTATTTGCTTTATAAATAGATTATATTATCAATAGATATATTAATTAAATATTATAATTAATATAATATATTTAATTATTTGCTAAATATTATTTATTTTTATTTAGAAAAATATTTTTGCCAAATATCGACAATTATATATTTTTTATCTTAAAATAACTATTTAATAAATATAATACTGTATATAAAGTTTGAAAATAAAATATTAATTTTAACTTAAAAATGAAAAATTTTTATATTGTATTTGTGTTTTAAAATAACATTTATATTTTAGTTATTATAACTATTTATGACTATTTATTACGAAAGCTATTATAAATTAATCAGATATTTTATTTAGTTAATTATTTATCAAAATAAATTTATTGGAAATTAGGATTTAATCTACACTCTATGTATGTACGTATATGTATGTATAGTATGTGTGTGTATGAGTGTGTGTGTGTGTGTGTGTGTGTGTATGTATGTATGTATAGTATGTTTGTGTATGTGTGTGTTTGTGTGAGTGTGTGTGTATGTGTATGTGTTTATGTATGTGTGTATGTGCTTATGTATGTGTKTATGTGTTTATGTGTTTATGTGTTTATATGTGTTTATGTGTTTATGTATTTATGTATGTGTGTATGTATTAGTATATGTTATTTGTATGTTTCTAGTTAACTAATTATGTTGTCGACTAAATAATAATACTAAATACTATACAAATAGGATTTTGTTATTTACAATAATTACAAAGATATATACTGTATATACAGTATGTTTGTCGATATATTTTAGGATATTTCTGTATATAAAAAGATATTTAACGTGAATTTGAATAAAATAAATCAACAAACAAATGTGTTTATTATGTTCATTAATAATAATGATAATAATAATTAATTTTTAATGTTAAAATATATTGTATACTGTATTTTATATTAATAGAAATTATTTATTATTATTATTATTATTTCTAATAACATATTTATTTTAGTTGTTTAAAATTATACTTAACTATATAACTTATAACATATAAAAATTATAATAAATATACATTATATATATATATAGCTTTATTAATATATAATTTTTATAATTTTACTTTAATATTCAGTTATTTATTTTTTTTCAAAATTATAATAATAAATTACAATTAAATACTTAAATTTAAATTATATATTTATATATTAATGTATAAATACATTATAATTTATATGACATTTAACTTGTGTGTGTTTGATTTTTGTGATATATTTTTATTAAAGTATTAAGTTTTTATTTTAATGATAATAATCATAATCATACAATTGTTGTTATAATAAATGTTTTAAAAACTTATATAATCATAATAATAATAATAATTTAAAGTATTATTCGTTATATATATATATATATTAACAATTTTGTTGAGCAATTATAATTTTCCAAATATTTTTCAAATTTATTATTATAAAACGTTTTCATAAATACATACATATATATAAATAAAATACTTAATTTCATGTCATATATATATACAATGTATTTAAACGATAATTAATCACAAGAATATTCTTTATACACAAAAAATTTATAATATACTGTATATGTATTATATTATATATATTACTACTGTATCTATGTTTATATCATTCATTCATTGAGTTAATGACTTTTGGTTTTTTAGTTTTTTTGTTGAGTTTTTTTCTTAAATAAAAAAACTTTCAGTTTTTTTTTCATTCATTTCAATGTTTTTTAATTAAATACTTTTTTATCATTCAATTAGTTTTAAACTCATTTTTCTTATGTATTCTCATTTTTTTCTCTTTTATTTATTCTAACAAAATATAAGACAAATAAATCTCAAACTTATGTGTATGTGTGTGTGTGTGTGTGAGTGTATGATGTGTGTGTGTGTGTGTGTGTGTGTGATTTGTGTATGTGTATGTGTGTATGTGTTTGTGTATGTATTTGTGTGTGTGTGTGTGTGAGTGTATGAGTGTGTGTGTGTGTGTGTGTGATTTGTGTATGTGTATGTGTATGTATGTGTTTGTGTATGTATTTGTGTGTGTGTGTGTGAGTGTGTGAGTGTGTGTGTGTGTGTGTGTGTGTGATTTGTGTATGTGTATGTGTATGTATGTGTTTGTGTATGTATTTGTGTGTGTGTGTGTGAGTGTGTATGAGTGTGTGTGTGTGTGTGTGTGTGTGTGATTTGTGTATGTGTATGTGTATGTATGTGTTTGTGTATGTATTTGTGTGTGTGTGTGTGTGTGTGTGTGTGTGTGTGTTGTGTGTGTGTGTGTGTGTGTGTGTGTCAGTGTGTATGAAGTGTGAAAAATGATATTTTTTAATAATATACTGTACACATACACACACAGCGCCTAAATAAAGAAAGAAAAATATTTTTTTTATTTTGAAAGATAAATTGATTTTTCAATTAATAATCATTTATATATTGTATATATGATATAAAAATAATGACAATAATAAATGTTTGTGTTTTAAAAATTTTCTCATTTTATGTTTTAGTATTTTTTTTTATTTTTTTATAGAAAAACTGCATTTAAATTTTTTCTTGTAGTTTTTAATTTGTTGTCTCATTAATAAAAAATAAAATTAATAATTTTTTTAAAAAACATACAAATTATTTTTGGTTTAAAGATTTTTTCAAAATTTTATTGATGAAAAATTTATTGATACTTATATATATAATGTCAATATTTAATAATAATAATAATAAATAATAAAATTAATTTTGTGCGCCCTCAATGTATATAATATACAATGCATTTTATTTTTGTTAATATATAAATATCAATAATAATAATCATATTCAATAATAATAATTCAATATTCAATTTATATATTAATATATAAATATATTTACAACATATACACATCATTATTACAAACAAATCATTTTTTTATTTAAATTTATTTTTTTGTTTTGTTTAAAGTATTTTTTTTATATAAATTAATTGATAATGAAATTTGTTTTTTTTAGTTAACTAATAATAGTAATTATAACAAATAATAAAATATATGAAAAAAAACAATTAGTTATTACTGTTATTATTATTATTATTATTAATACATTAGTAAATGCTTGACCTAACTCTGGCCACATACTCGTCCTGAATGGCCTCTTCGCGGGCGTCCAAACACAGTACTACCGTCGACAGGAACAGTAGAAAAGCGGCCAAACCGTCGATACCGGTAATGCCTAACATTATGACATCCCATTCAACGTAGGCATTGATGCCGCTTATCTTGTCTTTGGTACTGTGATGCGGATAGATATGCAATTTAACTTTACCGCCAGTGCCTCCAGCGCCCTGGGCTCCATTATTGCCGACTCCTGTCGTTGTTGTGGCCGTCCCACTGGCGCCCGTTCCCGAACTATGATGTACTCTATGGTGATCGGTGTTGATCGACGAGGCAAACAAATTGTACGAATGGCAGGGCATATAAAATGCCACATACGAGGCATAAGCTGTCAACAGTGTTATGCCACCCAATATGATGATCACCTATATATATATATATATATATATATATATTAGTATAAAGTATATGCACCGGTATGTCGTTAAAATACAAGTTGTTGTTTTTTGTTGTGTGTGTGGGATTGGATGAAATCAAGATTTGTATAAAATAGTGATTTATATACACATATAGATAGCACATACACACACAACAAAAACAACATCATATCATTTTATTTGTGACAACAACCGCACCAAACAATGGGATGACAGCCACACACACACACACACACACACAGTATGTTAGTGTCAGCGGTGATGTTGATGATGATAATGGGTATCATCGATGAGTTATAGTGTGGATGTATGTTTTTTCAAAGAGAGAGAGAGAGAGAGAGAGAGAAAGAGAGAGACAAAGAGAGAGACAGAGAGAGAGAGAGAGAGAGAGAGAGAGAGTTAAACATTTTGATTATTGGTTGTGAAAATACTAGTGCCACAAATAATAATAATAATAATAATAAGTTTTATCGTAATTGAATTCAATGTTCAATTCAATGACTTTTCAACCCCTCTATCACTTTCAATATATGGTATACTATATATAGATATATATATATATATATATAAGAGTTGTCTGTGAATTCAATTTAAATGACAATAAATAGGAGTGAATTTTTTTGATAGTCATAGAAAAATAAAGTAAAAAAAATAAAAGAGTGAGAATCGATAATAAATGGTTTGATCTATCTTTTATAGTACTCATATAGTCTAATACGGTATAGAATATACTGTATATATATATATATATATATATATAATTTATATACATATGTATATAAAAATATATAAAAGTTTATATATAATAAAATACAATAGCTATCCATATATATATATATATTAGACTTTCTATTTTCTATAATAGCCGTTAAAAAGCTTACATTATGTATATACAGTATATATACTGTATATATATTAATACATTGAGAGAGAATAGCTATCCTATTATTATTATTATAATACGGTAATAGTGTATACAATATACAGTATATCCATATATATATGACTAAAAAAGCTTATTTTGAAACACAGACACATAGACATAGACATACAGAATATTCTTTTAAACTAAAAATAACAATAACAATAACAATACTAAATGCAAACAATATACTACTACTACTACTACTACTACTACTACTACTACTACTACTACTACTACTACTACTAAATATAAGCTAAATAACAATAATATTAGTTTATATATATAAAAAAAAWTTTACATACAAGTAAATGAAAGCCAAATCTGAGATCCTCTTGATTGGGTGCTATGTTAATAAAGGCCAAAAGGAACAGTAGTATATCGGCACAGATAACAATAATATGATAGACTTTTAATGTATCGTAAAAATGTTCAAAAAATTCTTCCATAATACTAATGTTATTGTTTTGCCATAGTTTGTCATCGCTGGGCAATGGTATACATTGACAATCTTTTTTGATGATCACAACAAATGAACCGATGATTAATAACTGTCAGTATTTAGTTTTTGGTTGTTTTTTGTTGTTGTTGTTGTTGTTTGAATCACCAAAAAATAATAATAATAAATAAAATGATAAAGAATTAGATGAAGAATAATATGTTTTTTTTGTTATTGTTTTTTTGGTTAGGTTTGGTGTTTGGTTTAGGTATGATGTGTTTGTTTTATATATATATATAAGTTATAATAATAATAAGAATAATAATAATAATAATAATAATTTTTTTAATATATAAAAAATAATATATAAAAGTTAGAGAGACAACAACAACAACAACAAAAACACACACAAAATTAATTGTCAACTAAAAAACCATACATAAAATACAATATATAGTAAAGTATTATAATATAATACATAAAAATACAATACAATAGCAAATTTTGTGTGTTATATATATACAGTATATGTTTTAGTTTAGTTAAACTGTGAATTTTTTTTCGACCGTAAAAAAAAGTTTAGCGTTTTTTTTTCCAAACTTTGTTGTTGTCGTTATTGTGTGTGATTTTTGTTTAACAAAATATACAATAAACAAAAATACTGTTTTATATWTAATTTGTTTTAAAAAATAGTAGTAGTAGTAAAAAACACAAATTTTTTTCCATACATTCAATTATTGTGATATATTATACCAAATGTTATTTTTTTCATTTCAAAATTTATGTTTGCTGTGTATATRTATACTGTGTCTATATATATAGTGTATGTATGTTGTAATTTATATGATATTTAAACTCTAACATTTTAGATGATGCTCTCTCTCTCTCTCTCTCTCTCTCTCTCTCTCTCTCTCTCTCTCTCTYTACTCTCTAATATCATARAGGATATGATATTGTAATGGGAATTGATTTTTCTTTATATATATACCGGTTTATGTACAGTGTGTGTTTGTTAAGTGTTATATCATTTTTCTAACCGTTAATATGATATTACCGTTTATGGTGTAAAAGTTATATCATATAATACTGTATTATATAGTGTGTGTGTATGTGTGTTAGTATAGAGAGAGAGAGAGAGAGAGAGAGAGAGAGAGAGAGAGAGAGAGAGAGAGAGAGAGAGAATTTTGTGGTGCAAAAAAACTAAAAATATCATATTATATATATATATATAATAACAAAACTAATTTTCGTACACAAAAATCGCTGCTCTCTTATAATATATATAAATGGAGTTAAATTCTGTGGTTTTTTCTTTAAGAGAGAAAAAGAAAGAAAGAGAGAGAAAGAGAGAGARAGAAAGAGAGAGAGAGAGACCTATTTTCTTTTGGATGTATATGTATGTATGTTTGATACAACTACTGGTGCGGTACACCCTCTAAGCACTATAAAAGATTGGGTATAATGGTATCGCTAATACAATAGAAAATGTCATTATAGTGGGTGAGAGAGAAAGTTAAGAGAGAGAGAGAGAGAGAGAGAGAGAGAGAGAGAGAGAGAGAGCACAGTTAGCTAACAAACACACACAAAATGTGCGATAATACATAAGCTAAAGTGTTACTTAATATTATATGTGATATCATTTGTCAATAGATAGGTTTGTATGTTATTTTGTTTGTTATGGCACTCACACTATTACTACTACTACTACTTTGTGTTTTAATATATAAGTATAGACCGTGTAATGGCTTTTATTATATTGGATACCCTATGAAATATTAGTAGTAGTAGTAGTAGTAGTAGTAGTAGTAGTTGTTGTTGTTGTTGTTGTTGTAGACATTGATATATATTATATCATATCACATATATATTGGTATATATATATATATATTACAAATAATATTGAGAACTATAGAGTAGTTTAACTTAAAAAATAAAAAATAACATTTATTATTGTATAATATATATATATATATGATATAAATGTTATACTAATCATAACTTAGAAAAATTAAATTATTATATATAATGATATTTTATTAGATTAAATGTGAGAATAAACATTAAAAAAWAAAATAAAATGTCATTAACTATAAATATCAATTCATTTAATAATATTAATAATTATAGTAATAATAATAATAATAAACTGTTTATATATATATATAAWATATATGATTTCAAAACTAAAATAATTTAAACTAAAAGTCAATCGTATGATAAATTTAAATTGAAAATAAAATCAAATATATTCAGTATAATCACTTAAAATAAAAATATCTGAAAAAATGTTTCACAACAACAAAAAAGTTTAAATGTGATTTGTACAATAATTTTTATTATTATTATTAGTTTTATTATTTAATGTCTAAAGTGTATTAAATTATTATCTTGTTTTTTTTTTGTACTATAGTCTATTGTATTCAATTGTATTATATATATATATATAATAAAAATAATAATAATTTTAAATTTTTAATGCCATATGAATAGTTTATATGCTTTACTACATTATACTATTATCTACTTTTTATATATAATACAATATATATATATAGCTAATAAAAGTTTAAAATTATTTATATGTAATATATTTCTTTTATCTTTTAGCTATTTTTTATCTATAACATTGTGTATATGTTGTATGTGTGTGTGTATGTATGTATAGTATATATGTATGTACTGTATGTATGTGTCTATGTATGTACAGTATATGTATGTGATGTTCAAAAATTTTTTAATAGACATCAAAAATCTATAATTCATTGTTATGATTATTGCCAGCTATAATAATATTATTATTATTATTACTGTATTATATTGTACTATACTGTATAGTCTATACAGTATAATATCAAACCAACAAAAATACACACACAATTATTATTATTATTTTTTACTCATACAAACACATAGCGTATAAACATTTTTTTTATTTCACTAAATAGCAATATAACAACATTAACAACACAACAACAAAAACAAAACTATTGCAAAATCCTATTATGTAATATCTAATTCTTGTAATATTTTTATTTATTTATTTTTCATAAACTATATACAGTTATATTCWGTATAATAAAATATACCAGTATTTACACACAGAATAAGTATAAATATATGCAGAATATATTTTTAATAATATGTAAACATATATATATATATATAATATTAATATATAATAAATTGTGAAATATTTAATATATATMTGTGTTGTATGTACAGTACATACACACATACATATAAAATATAATAAGAGAGAGAGAGAGAGAAAGAGAGAAAGAGAGAGAGAGAGAGAGAGAGAGAAATATTATGATATATCTATAATACATATATATATATATACTTTATATTATTTATATATATATATATATATATATATATTATTGTTATATGATAAAAGAAAAATAAAATACTAATAGCAAAAAAATAATAATAATAAAGTAATTCCCAGTTCATAGAGCTGTTGGCTTTTTTCCCACACATAGACATACAATACATACAAATAATATATATATATATAACAAAAAAAAGTCTTATGAATAATACTTATTTGTGGCAAAAAAATCACTGTGAATATCATAATAGCGACAATAATAATAATAATAATAATAATAATAATAAAATAATAATAATACTATATTAACGAAAATATAATGATAATCTCAGTGTTAGCGTCTATTGTATAGCATTTATACTGTATTATATATATATATTGTATAATATTTTTAGTTGAATAAGATATTATATTTATTGTCTTTTTTTTTATACAATATTTTTTATTTTGTTATATAATATTATACATATATATGATATAATATATATATATATATATATATATATATATACTACACATTCAAAATGAAATACTGAATATATTCATATTATATAATTTATATAATATATGAGAACAATAGTTATATAAAGAAAAATTATTTAACAAATATAAAGAAAAAAATAATAAATTGAATTAAGAATAATATTCTGATATTTTATTTTATTTTTTGATACAACTATTATCATATCGTTATACTACAGGCGCTGTAATATATATATATATATATATATATATATATATATATATATATATATAATACATACATACATTCATATATATATATATATATGAATGTATGTATATTATAATATATAATATACAGTATATACATATTTATATATATATATAACTATGTGCAYCGAGAAAAAAGCTTAATACAAATAAAACATAATATCGATTTGTAACATAAGATTGCAATATATATATATATAGTATGTATGGTATAATATATTTGAGAGAACGAGAGTTAGTTTCAAATATATATATATATATATATTTGGTATAGTATTATACATATAAAGTGAAAGATACATTTTGATAGATATACATTGAGTGAGGCATTGCATGACTGAGTGAGTGAGTAAGTGAGCAAATAATGAGAAAGAAAGAAATAAAGAGAGAGAGAGAGAGAGAGAGAGAGAGAGAGAGAGAGAGAGAGAGAGAGAGAGAGAGAGAGAGAGAGAGAGAGAGAGAGAGAGAGAGACTGTTTGATAAAAGGAGTGATTATTTTTTTTGCCACAAAAAACAACAACAACTACTAAAACATGACAACAACATAAAGATATGATACGATATACACAGTGTATATAACAGTGTATATATGTATACTTACAGCACACAGAAAAGTGACGATACGATGAAAGCACCAGTGCTTTGGATAACTTGAAGACATGTCGTTATTTTTTGAGGAATGGAGGTGTGTTTGGTCTGAATATTGTGTGCACTGGTATGTTGTTGTTATTATTATTATTATTATTAATATTTATTAACTATATAAAAATTTGTAAGTTAGTACAGTATATATATATATATATATATATATATATATATATATATATATGCCAGTACACCTGCACCTGTATAAGCCTTTTTAATGTGTCGTGTCGATGCTAAACACTGTTTACTTTACCACATAAGAGTGAGTGAGTGAGTAAAAAATTATATATATATCTTTCTAATATATATATATTTTTGATATATATCAATGAGTGATGATGACGATGATGATGATGGTATATAAGAAAATGGTATGTTAAGCACAGTTATCATTGCAAAAACACATACACACATATATTATATATTATATTATATATATCACTTATACATCAAACACTAGTGATCTTGTAGTCTAGAGAAAGAGAGAGAGAGAGAGAGAGAGAGAGAGAGCCAAAAAAATCACAAGTGCTCTCAGCTATTCATATATTGTATGAACGATACATCATATATATATATACTGTTTGTTTATATGTATGTATATACAGTACAAATTGGATTAACACTTAAAATAATAATAATAATATTGTTGATAATAATATATTAATAATAATTATTATAATAAAATTATAATATACAATATATTTATATATATAGTGTATATATTGTTATAAATATTAAATATATTATTAATATATTAGTATCACATGTGAAATGTTTCAATTGCTAAACAAATTTATGTTGCAATTCATTCATTCAATTCATTCAAATATATATATATAAAGAATATTCTGTAGAACTCACAGAATATTTTTATTTCTCACTCTCTTTCACTGCTAGTGTTGTATATAACTGACTGACTGTTGAGTGAGTATTGACTGCACACAGAGTTTTTCCATACAATACTATACCACTGATACATACATACAAAACATTAGYAACTGAGTGAATGAGTGAGTGAGTGAGTGAGTGWGTGTGTATGCGTTTGTGACAACAACCAGAATATTGCTGATGGCTTAGGTGTGTGTGTGTGTGAGTGTGTGTGTGACTGACTTTGCATACATACACACAACTACTACATCACTACTGAGAGACTACATCATCATCATCGCTACCACCACCACCGCCGAAACCGTCACATAAACACAAGCTATACAACAGTCAGTCAGGGAGAGAGAGAGAGAGAGAGAGAGAGAGAGATACATATATAAGCAAACATAACATTGCTATACATACCAGTGATGCCTTAACACACAMAGAGAGAGAGAGAGAGAGAGAGAGAGAGAGAGAGAGAGAGAGAGAGAGAGAGAGAGAAAAGCCTTCAACATTACATAATCAAAAGGAAAGCCGTTTTTCACTTCAATTTAATCTATGTTTTTATTTCAATAGTTCTCTCTCTCTCTCTCGCTCTCTCTCTCTCTCTATGGGGCCTCGGTGGCCGAAAGGCTAAGTTGTCGGCTTTCGAGTACGACACCCGAGATCGATACCCGGACGGGCCACCAAGTTTGTTGGGATTTTTAACATAAACAGATAATATGTGTACGAAGAACTGTCCACATATATAATGCTGTCCTATCGTTAATAGGTACTTCTAACTACTAATCTCTGTTATTTATAGTATAACCAACAATACTAGAGAGAAACATAGTTTAAGGGTTCTCTCTCTCTCTCTCTCTCTCTCTCTCTCTCTCTCTCTCTCTCTCTCTCTCTCTCTCTTTCATACGGTAACTGAAGTGAGTCATAGCGCGCGCTGATAGTAGTAGTAGTAATCGTAACTCTTTTACTATGGATATACAGTACTTAAGTCTTTTACTCCCTATCAATCTCCCTGAGCTCTCATCTCATTGCATCTCTCTCTCTCTCTCTCTCTCTCTCTCTCTCTCTCTCTCTTTTTTGCAATAAATTCTAATAAAAAAATTTTGATTTAACAATTCTCTCTTTCTATCTCGACATAACTTTTATTATTTGTTAAAATGTTAAGAGAGAGAGAGAGAGAGAGAGAGAGAGAGAGAGAGAGAGAGAGAGAGAGAGAGAGAGAGAGAGAGAGAGATTCACAACACAATAGATACACTACCAATGCTTTACACTAATATAACACAGTAGTAGTAGTAGTAGTAGTAGTCGTTGGTGTTGTAATAGTAGTAAAAGAATTTTAATATATATTTAATGATCAAAATATAAATGAAAAAATAGTAACTTTTTTTAACAACTCAAACATCAAATGTGTGCTAAAACAACAACAATAAGTTATATGAAAGAGAGAGAGAGAGAGAGAGAGAGAGAGAGAGAGAGAGAGAGAGAGAGAGAGAGAATAAAAAAAATCTTATTTCCTTTTTTGGTACCAAAAAAATATATTTTATTTTTAATATAAAATTATTTTTTTTAATTTTGTTATTTATGTGCTTTTATTAGTAGTTTTTTTTGTCACCTAAATTAGTTGTAAACTAATAACAAAAATAATAGTCATAATTCAAATATTTATTTTTTACTTATTTACTTTACTTTATTTTTTATATCTTATTTAATATATTGCTATATATATATATATATATATATATTAAATACTGTGTGTATTTTATTTGTGCAAATTGATTGCCAAATTTAATTAACTGATATATTGATAATAATAATAATAATAATAAAATAAATAAATAAATAAATAACTAATTTTGTTAATGTATTAATATTAATAATAATAACATTGATTGTGAGATTAAATATAAATTATATATATATTGTACAATAGTATTGATTAATAAATAAATAAATAAAATAAAATCTCGTTATTATGTGATTAACTAATATATATATATATTGTGTGTGTGTGTGTGTGTGTGTTTATATAGTATATAAACTATATTTCCACATCAATATAGAGATATCTATCAAATTTATTTGTTGTAAAAATAAAACTTACTGAGCCGTATACCTCCACTTTCAATAACTGCCTGTCCAATAGATTTATCTAAACATTATGTATACCTACTATACAGTATAAATTTATAACTCGATAACTATATTTCAAATTTAATCTCTCAATAGTTATATCATCTATTTATATATATATATTATATATTGTATATATTGTATATAGTATTATATCATCACATACCAGTGCTCTGTTACCACACAATTTATATATATGTATATACTGTAAAATACTGTACAATAGTTTTATATATGTACTGTATTATACCGGTATAAGTTAATCACCATAGATAGTCAGTAAGATAGTTAAGACAGGAAAGTTATATATATATATATATATGACTACCCGTTCCTCTTTATCTCTCTCTCTCTCTCTCTCTCTCTCTCTCTCTCTCTCTCTCTCTCTCTCTCTCTCTCTCTCTTTCCACTAACGGATTAATCGGAAGCATTAGTTTTGCAATCATCGGTGACTTTTAGCGAACATTGAGTGAATGAGTGAGTGAGAGCACAGTTAGGCTGCAATTTATATACCGATTCCGATGTCTAATAGATAGATAACTGGATAATACAATATATATATATATATATACAGTATATACAGTAAATTGGTGTCCAATTTGCTTTATGTACCGATATATGTGTGTGTATTCATTAATGTGTTATATTAATTCCTCATTTGTTACTTAACAATTAAACAGTATACAGGCCTTTATATTATTTAATGCCTGTCCTAACACACACACACACATASGCACACAGGAAAGGGTCAATAATGGCAAACTACACCATCAACATTATCACCATCATCAACAACAACATCGATACTAAACTAATACAACAACTAATTGATTTATTATCATTTGATATTAGATTCTGTATATTCTGTATATTCTGTATATTCTGTACTATACATAACATTGGGAGACATACTGTATAGATTTACACCTATATTATAAAACATTATATATATATATATATAATATAGACAGTATATATAAATACTATTAAACTCTCGTTAAGTATGTGCTAATGTTAGCACATACACACACACACACACATAYATACATACACACACACACACACCAACAAAATACTGTTATTTTTGTTGGTGTAGTTGTGTTTTTATGTTGTTGTTGTTACTATTATATTTGTTGTGTATGTTTTATCTTATGTTTTTCAACAAAACACAAAAAAAATTACAGTGAAAATGTAGTAACGCTTGAAAATTACTAACGAAATACACAAAAAAATAGTGTTTTGTTATATATATACTGTATTTATATTAAATGCAAAAACCACTCTAAAACTACATTATTTAGTCATTTCTCATCTAAAAAAACTTATCTAATGTTATGGTAATGTACGGTATATACAAAAATAAATACATTAAAAAACTAAGTTTAGGTAATTGTACTGTACTTTAACTGATATGTATGTACCGTATGATTACTACTAACCTGAAGTGTTAGTTATGTATAAATAGATATTAAGTGTTTGGGAGAAAAAAGTGTTTGTTAAACCAGATATTTGTTATATCATGATATTATATAATATTAGACAATATAATTTTTGAATGTTCAATAATATTCAATATATACAGTATATACAATTGTATAGATAATAGTATAAGAAATATATAGATCTATATTTTTATTTTAGCTATTCAATATTATATAACTAAAATAAGGTATATTAGGTATATATTTAATATATATTTATATAAAGTATATTTATATATAATTTTTTTCATATTTCAAAATTTGTATAAAAATTTATTCAGAAATCAAATCAATTGTATATGTATTATATTACATATATATATATAGTATATCTGTATATTATATATCAATATAAACTATATAATATACTGTATTATATTATATACTATATATTATATATCAATATAAAATATATAATATACTGTATATATTTTATATATAATATCAATATGAAAAATGACAAAATTATGTAAAGCTATGGATAGATGTTTAGTCTAATAATAAATTTTATGTATAGTACTATACAATAATGTATAACTTTATACAGTATTGTATATTCAATATATACTGTA